ACCACAGCAGATGGTGGAATTTGAATTCAATTAAAAAAAATCTGGAATTAATAGTCAATGGCACCGAAACCATTGTCAATTGTCAGAAATATCCCATCTGGTTGACTGAAGTCCTTTAGGGAGGGAAACTGCCATCCTTATCCAGTCTGGCCTACATGTGACTCCAGACCCACAGCAATGGGGTTGACTCTTAACTGCCCTCTGAAATGGGCATTCAGTTCAAGGACAATTAGAGATGGGCAACATCAGCAGCACCTAGACGCCATGGAAGATTTTTAAAAAACTACGATAGGACAATGTTCATGGCCTTGTTACAAGGGCTTTTGTGTTAATAAATGTTACTTCACTCTGCCAGGGACCACGGTCCAAAAAATAAAGCTTTTTCAGCACTTTTCAACCTCTTGAATTCATGATAATAAGGCAGACCCTTCTATGTTTTTTCTGACCTGGTATTAAGATGGTTTTCAGAGGTCTCACTTCAACACCTTGAATGGGGTATTCCAAGGGAGAATTTGCTTTGGCAAAAAGCAATGCGTCTGCAGAAGACTTGGTCCTAAAGGGGAACCAAAATACAAAAGGTAATGCACAAAATAAAAACAGAAAATGCTGCAAATACTCAGCAGGCTTTACAGAATCTGTGAAGAGAGAAAGAGAGTTAATCTGAGAGGGATCTTGGTCTTCTGGTACATAAACCAGACCTGGAAATATATATTGCTGCTCCCTCAGTGTCACTGGGTCAAAATCCTGAAATTCCCACCTTCAGGGCATTGTGGGTCTACCTGCAGCACATGGACTGCAGTGGTTCAAAGCAGCTCACCCTCACCTTCTCAAGGGGCAACTAGGGACGGGCAATAAATGCTAGGCCAGCCAGAGACACCCACATCCCACAAATGAATTTTTAACAATATATAAAGTTGGTATGCACATGCAGCAAGTGATCTAGAAGTTAAATTGCATTTTGGTAAGGTAAAACACAGCAGGATTTATATACTTAAAAAGTTAAGGTCCTGAGGAGTGTTGCTGAACAAAGAGGCCTTGGGGTACAGGTTCATAGTTTCTTGAAAGTGGAGTTGCAGGTAGACAGGATAGTGAAGGTGGTGTTTGGTACGCTTGCCTTTATTGGTCAGTGCATTGAGTATAGGAGTTGGGAGGGTCATGTTGTGGCTGTACAGGACATTGGTTAGGCCAGTTTTGGAATACTGCGTTCAGTTCTGGTCTCCCTGTTATAGGAAAGATATTACTAAACCTGAAAGGGTTCAGAAAAGATTTACAAGGATGTTGCCGGGGTTGGAGGGTTTGAGCTATAGGGAGAGGCTGAATAGGCTGGGACTATTTTCCCTGGAGCGTCGGAGGCTGAGGGGTGACTTTATAGAGGTTTATAAAATCATGAGAGGCACGGGTAGGGTGAATAGCCAAGGTCTTTCTCCCCCCAGGATAGGGGAGTCCAAATACTAGAGGGCATAGGTTTAAGCTGAGAGGGGAAGAGAGTTAAAAGGGGACCTAAGGAGTAACCTTTTCATGCAGAGGGTGGTGCGTGTATGGAATGAGCTGCCAGAGGAAGTGGTGGAGGCTGGTACAATTACAACATTTAAAAGGCATCTGGATGGGTATATGAATAAGAAGGGTTTAGAGGGATATGGGGTAAATGCTGGCAAATGGGACTAGATTTATTTAGGATATCTGGGTCAGCATGGATGGGTTGGACCAAAGGGTCTGTTTCTGTGCCGTATATCTCTATGACTCTATAGGTTTTATTGCAAGGGAAAGAAAATATAAAATCAGGGAATGGTTATTGCAGCAGTACAGAGACTTGATGATACCATGTCTAAAGTATTGTATACAGCTTAGCTCCTTTTATTTGAAAAAGGATTCAATTGCTTTTGAAGCAGTTCAGAGAAAGTTAATTCCACTCACTCCTGGGACGAAGGGCTTTTCTTACAAAGAAAGGTTGAACAAATTGGGCCTATTGGAGTTTAGAAGAACGAGAGGTGATTTTATTTAGTCTTATATTTGATTTAGATGTGCTCTCTACCTCAGAAAGACTGGAACAATATGCCCAGAACAATCCTAATATCGCTGGCAGTAAGTAGATAAGAGGAGGCTTCCCCAAGTCCAATTGCCAATATTGTTCAGATCCCCCTCCCTCACTCAGTCCCTCCTTACACCAATGCAGCTCAGACCAGGGTAGCAGCTGCAGTGTGTTATGATCCCAGCTAATGTCATTACTAGACAAGTGTTATGATCCCAGATTGAAATGTGGCTTGATAGATCATTTAACAAGGTGGGTTTTAATACAGAAGTTTATTGCATACAAGTGAAAATTGAAATAAAATAAAACAAATTATTTCTTTCTTTGTGATCCTTTCCGAGCTGTTTTTATTATATTTTCCCTTCTATGGCATACTCCTGAGCTTTCCTCTTTTCTGCTTCCTAAACATCAAACATCTAATCAGCACAATTTTCTCCATGTCTTAAAACCATTATCTCCTCCAACTATTTACATCTAAATTATTTACATATAAAAGTTTGAAGATTTTTGAAATGCAGTAAAATACACTCCCATTAATCCCAAAAGCATGCCTTTACAGTAGTCATATTAGAGAGAATTCCCTTCTCTACTGTATGTATGAGGCTTAATTAACTATCGCTTCAATTCCCTGTCTTGAGAATCTGATACCCTTTACCTGGAGTTTTCATACAACTGCAAATAACCTCTTCAGGTTTGTAACCCACACCTCTGGTCTGGAACATATAAACCAAATTCCTTTACTGGAGGTAAACTTTCTGAACAGTTCCAAACTCGCTCCTTTTGTTAGGAGAAATTCTTGTACAGTTTTGGATAAAACTTCTGCAGTTTGACCCCAAACTGGAAATCCTTTTCCTCTCAAGTTTATAGGTGCTTCTCCTCATCTAAACTGAATGCCTGATGCACAAGCATTCACTTTGTTCACTTGTAAAAATTCTCCCAAAAGTAACCAGCTCCCATTTGCTTCTGAGAACTAGTCCTCTCAAACTGTGTTTTAAAAGAAATCACCATGGCTACAGAAATACTTACAAGTTAATCATTAAACCCCTTCAGACAAACATGCCACTACTTCTGATTCAAACTGTAAAATAAATGATATTAAAATAGAGATAAACCATACACCTTCTATCACAAGTGGGAGAATTGAACCTGCCTCGCCTCTTCACCACTGTGGTCACAGCCACACCATTGACATCGAGGTAAAAGGGTCAAAGGTGAGAGGAGTAGGAACGAGTAGGAAGCAGCACTTAAAATGACATGAAGCTCGAGTGAAGAGTGTTTGAGTCAGTGAAGAATGAAGGCCATTATGTATGTATCGTTTGAGATAGACCAAAAGTTTGAGTTGGAGGAGATAATGGTTTTAAGACATGGAGAAAATTGTGCTGATTAGATGTTTGATGTTTAGGAAGCAGAAAAGAGGAAGGCTCAGGAGTATGCCATTGAAGGGAAAATATAATAAAAACAGCTTGGAAAGGATCACAAAGAAAGAAATTTAAGGCCATAGTGGTTGCAGTTTATTGAACTTGGAAGACCCAAAGAAACTGGAAGAGGAATTGGACCTTGTTTTGGGTGCAAAAGCCTGATAATTTCTGCTGCCCTTCATACAAAAGTGAAGCACCCTTTAGTAGTCCCAGCAGCTGCCTGTTAGGATCATGGCCGAAAGGCAGCACTTAAAGTCTGTCTGTCACCTCCTGTGTTGAATTGGACTGTAGCTGACTGGTCTTGAGGAACCAAATTGTGGATCCTCACACAGGCTTGAGGAACACAGGAACAAGAATGTCCTCCTACAATAACACAGGGTCTTGATGAGACCACACCTGACGTACTGTGTGCAGTTCTGGTCTCCTTATCAGAGGAAGGATATTCTAATGATGGAGGGAGTGCAGCGAGGGTTTACTAGACTGATTCCTGGGACAACTGATTCTAAGATTGACGTAGGACGAAAGGTTGAGTCAGTTAGGACTGTATTCACTGGAGATTAGAAGAAGGAATAGCGA